GACCAAGCAGCTAGGAAGCATTTCGGCTCATGGCTCTTGATAAAACTCTTGTCTTCCTTCATCCACTCTTGTTGCTGCGGTGAACTAACACTTTCGCCTCACCCTCATTTTTGTGCTTATCTTAATGCTACTGTGGGCTCTGCAGAGTGCTTCCTTTATCCAATTCTTTTAGGTAAGACTGTGTGTGCTCCTTCCTCCCTGCCACTTTGGTGGGTGTGCACATGACTATGCATGAATGCGTATGTCTGGCTGCTCTGTATTGTAACACGTGCACTTTTCCTTTGTCTCCTCTTTAACGCTTACAAAGTAGCCACTATTCCATTCGCCACTCCATAAGTATGCCAGCTATAAGGTACAGTAACGCACCCGCCGTTGTAATAATTCTAACAATGTTGTGGATCATGTTACAATGTCACGATTGCTGCGTTCCACACTGCTTGGAAGCTGGAGTTCTTCAAAGAAACAAAAACTATGGCTGACCACCCTGATAAACGGTTATTTGTTTAGATTAGCCTTCTTCTAGAGTCCAACTGATAGGAGATTTGGGGGTTTAATTCTGATGGTTGGCAGCTTAAAAAAAAAAAAACTATAAATGGATGAAAAATTATATATCCGCCGATACTTTCAAAAAGAGCATCCACCCATTTTCTAATCCGCATTATCCTCACGAGCCTCACGAGCGTCACGGGCGTACCAGCGTACACCCTCAACTGGTTGCCAAGCCAATTCAATGAGAACATTGCTATACTAAATTCTTCCAATGCCCAAAATTTGATTCGGGACAAAGCGGACGACGACTAAATCAAAGTAAACGACTCCTGAGGATAAGCGGTTTGGATGGATGAATAGACTCTTAATTAGTCACACTGTCTAGATAAGGACTGACTGTAAACTCTTATTCTCATGTTAGATAATGTTGGACATGGGCATTAACAGACACCTCCGTGTCACCGTGTCAAGTCATGAATCACTTTGCATTGTGATTCATTTTGCATTTGTGGAATATGAGTTCAGCGGCCAAATCCGCAGTTTTTTAGCCATCTTAGGAGGCGGCCATTTTGCTCCTTTCTCTCGACTGAAAATGACCTCGCAGTTGCTCAGGGAACTACCAATCGTGGCTACCTGTTTTCTGAAGCTGAGCCATGATTTGTTGTGACCTGAGCCCTGTGAGCAACTGAGCAACTGTGATGTCATTTTCAGTCTACAGCAAGTGGCAAAATGGCCGCCCCTTGAGAAGGTAAAAAATTTGTAGTGCTTAGTTAACTCAGATTCCGCCAACGCAATATGACTCAGAAAGCAATGTTTAGACTAGTTAAGGCGTTTCGACCAAATTCATGTGAAGAAAATTCTGGGGTTGACTTCGCCTTTCATACATTGGTTAAATATTGACCTATGTCGATTCATTGGTGATGCTTTATAATACTCTTTTCGAGCAGACAGTCTGAAGCGGAAGGCGGGCAGGTAAAGAGAAGAGAAAGACAAACGCTGAGTATACCAATTGGCATTCAGCAAACCAAAACAATGCCTCGTCTTACAAGGTCTGGCTTCTCACGTTGGTGGAATGCAGCAAAAGTTTCAATGATGGAAGTGATCTGTGTTTTGAAAAATGTCAAAACAACTACAAATTACAATTACAAAAATGAAAAAGCATTCTTCATTTTCATAACTTGTTTTTTTTTTTCTTTAGTCTAATATGGTAACAGCAATTAGCAGTTATAAAATGTTGACATAGTGCTTGTCTCACAGGAACTCTGCCACCTTCAAGTCGTTTGAGGACAAAATGGGAAACCTCAAGGTGAGCAATGTCATTGTAACACTATTTCAGTACTCGTATCATGAGGGATGAACAATTCTCATTATTTTATGAACAAATAGCATTTTATTAGGGTTGACTAATTATCGGCCCTTTTATCGGTCCGATCCTGTAAAACGACGAAGATATTGAAAGCCGCATTAAAATACACAAACGTACAACCACTTGAAGTCTCCTCCTAAAAACAATATTTACAAGAAATAATGAAACTTGCACACAGGCCAGTTCACTTGAATGAGAGCCATCGCCGAGGCTCCCCCGGCAGTCACCCGGCGCCGCCTCGTGGGAGGCCGACTTCCGGGGCCGCCGAATAATGACGCTGAAGGATGCCTTTTGCTTTTTAACTGTATGTTTACCTTCGGTGCTGGATGCTCCTATCGTGTGGACTTAATCGAGCTTGAATTGCAGCACAAATGGATGACTTCCACCAACTTTTTATTACAGTGTGAATGATGGCGGACGAGATGGCGTGCGACCAGCAGGACTGGCGGAGTCAACGTAAACAAAAGCAGTGTTGAGCACAGTTGTCAAATTTAAGGCCCGTAGGCCAGATCCAGCCCACATCATTTTTTTTCTGGCCGGCGACGGCAAACTGTTTGCGTCAATTGTCTTCTTGCATCAATTGAAAAATAGTTGAACAATTATTTAAGGCATGAAGCTGCGGCATTGGCCCCTGACTACGGTGGTCCCAACAACCAGGGGTCCACTGCCGGGTACTGCTTTGCAGCCCACACAGTTATATTTTAATACCATAAATACAATATTTTACAGTGGAGCATATAAGCACATTGGGAGAGTGGAGTTTTCTTTCTTTTGGTATTTTTTCTCGACTCTGCGCCAGTACAACTGGGTGTAACGGGGTGTTTGCACCTTTGTGGGATGGAATATCGTGTTTTCCCAGCCAATCCTCGCCGCAGCCCTAATTAGCATCCAAATTAGGGAGGTACGAGAACACACCCAAGTACAACGGGCTTGACATGCGGAAACACTAATTAGACTCGCTGGAGTTTGTGCATAACATTGGCACATAACCTGTAATCACTCCACTTTCGAATCGACCATGTGTGCGATATGGGAAATTAGAGAGCATCTTGTACCTTCCGATCGTACATTTGTGTGCCCCCTCTGCCCCCAATAGCGACAGGTTCACTATTACAATACCTTTTAAGATGATGATGATTATAATTCATTCAATGAATTGATTTGTACAATGATTCAGAGGGATCGTCCCACACTGGTGTCATAATATGAATTAAATAGCATGAGGTGTCCCACGTACATCCGCATAGCGCCGAATTTGTCTGCCTGTGCTTTATTAAATAACACCAAAATCGCGTTTGACCAGCAGTGCTGCAAAAAGAAGACCACCTGGCGTCAGTCTCCCAAAGTTGGGCACAATGCCTTTCTCTCCCAAATTCAAACCAGATTGGACAGGTCAAGTAGGCAGAAAAATGAAGGCTGTTATCCATGCAAGGAGGCTCTCCGATTGCAATGATGTTTTAAGAGTGCCGTTGATATGTCAAACGGATGTCGGAAATGGAGCCCATCTGCTAGCACCGCTTGACGCACAATGAGCGCGGGAAAGGAGGATTAACAAATTAACAAAAGAACGGAAACGCTGTGGGTGTCTGTGACACATTAACAACTGCGTAGCAATTTTTTTTTTCCCCCTCTCCCACTTTAGCGTACCGGTTAGTCCATTAGCACCCTGCACCTGGTACTGGGACACAGCTCATGAATACTGGCCAAGTAAAAGGTGGCTGGCGATGCCTGTGGCAGCGCAGCACAACCTGGATGTTGGTGTTGACACCCAACTATTTCATTTGCATTTCCACATTATTATCTGTCACACAGTGTGTGGCGTACGTTTATATCAATAAGTCTTGGAGAAGCGCTACGTCGCACGTTTCATCTGGAAGAATGCACCTTGGAGTATCAATGTTCTCTCATAACGTATGTCTCCAAGTTGCAAAGATTCCTCTGCATCATGTTATCTTAACAATGACATGAAAGCAAAGCCCATTCGGGGAAAAAAAAAAAAACCTCTGTGAGTCACAATTCACGATCCGGAGAGAATATATTCTGGATGGTGAATGCAAATGGTGAAGTTTGGTTTTTGCGAGCCTCTCACTACTCCATACAGCAGGGGTGGCCAACCCGTGGCTCACGAGCCACATGCGGCTCTTTGGCTGGTTCAATGCAGCTCCCGGTCTTTCACACGACAAGCGTTGAAAACGCCTCGGCGGTGGCAATGCCATTCAAACAACGGTGCTAAATACACAGAACGTACTACATCAGCCTATCATCAATCCCGTTACTTGATTGACATGCAGGGCAACCAATCAGATCACTGAATCACCACTGAAGCGCAAACAATGGCGCTAAGCGTTTAGCTCGTCAGTGAATTACCTCTGATGTCAAGGCAGGGTTTTCCAATACTTAGATCGCAATCGATGGGGAACCAGCACACTGATCCCAAGTCGACCGCGAGGGGTGGGAGGAGGAAATGGGAGGGAGGGGGGGAGGGGGGTGTCCTAAAAAATGGCTCTTTTTCTCTGACTGGTTGGCCACCCCTGCCATACAGTCATCCTAGCATAGACACGCATTGATAGCATTACTTTGAAAGAAGGCCAAGCACAAATTGTCAGGAACAGGGGCCATGTAAAATGGCTGTCCCCTGGCTTCAGCTGCAAGGGGCCGATTGATAGTCCATTCATCACAAGTCCGTGCCTGAGAAAGTGTGTCGAGAGGCGGGACTTTGACCCTTTTTTTGACTGTATTGGTCTTCCACAGGGGGACACTGTGACGCCTTTGAGGCCTCGATCTAGTTTGGGGTTGGTAAAAATGGACACGAGGCTGAAAGGATGAAAAAGGTTTTCTGCATTCTCTGACAACTTCAAGGGCGTTCACAGCTAACCTTGACGCGAGTGCTCTCACGATTGAATATTTGTAGAATTGATAATTCCATCAATTGATCAAGTCATTTTAGTTTGCATTTAAGTGTATTACAAAACCATTTTTCCAATACTGTTTACTTAAAACTGTATTGTTGTTTATGTATCATTAAAAAACAACGACACAACAATTCGGCAACATGATCACATGAGAGGTATTGATGTTCTCGCCAACCTTTTTGTAATGGAGTCAGTTACTGATTCAGTAGTTTTCCAACATAAAAGCACAAAAGAAATAATTCAGCTTTCATGAAGGATGACAGAAATCAGAATAGTTGTTGTTGAGAGGCTGATGAAATCAGAGGATTCGGACAATTTAAATTAAGTTAATCAGTGGCTCGAAATGATTGCTCAATTTTTACAACAGTCGATTCATTTGCTGTTCGATGAGTTGTGGATGAATTTTGACATCTGTACTCCCTGTGCTACTTTGTTTCCTGTGCAGTACAAGGTTGTGGGCCCCCGAGGGGATGAGAGCCCAGCTGATTCGGTCACTCCCACTCAGGAGAACCCGCCTTTCTGATTGCCAGCATTCTGACTGAGACTTCCCACCACCCCATTTTGCAGCAACGTCGCTGAAGGCCTCTGCCAAAACCACACAACTGTTTTTGCGCCCTCTCGTTCGCACCTCTGCTATCCAGCCAACCGCCTTTGACCTTTTGACCTGAGTCGCTCCCCTTCCTGTCCATTTTTGTCAGTGTGAACGCATGCTCGCATGGCGGTGCGGGACACTCCTGGGTTGCACTAAGCCTGGTTGCTGCGCGTCTCCTCTCCGCTGTATCCCAGCAACCGAGCTCTTGGGTGAACACTTTTTTATGATAAACACTTTTTCACTGCTTTGCATCATGTTTTTACAAGGCTGCTGCCGCCATTCTGCATGGAGGGAACCAAGAAGAAAAGTAGCAAGACACACACACACACACACACACACACACGCACACACACGCACACACACACACACACACACACACACACACACATACTGTATGTGAGCATGACTCGCTGATATGTCCGTTTCCTTCTCGCCTTTGCTTGCACTCCTCTCCCGCCAAGAACCACCTTTAGCTCCAATGTTTCGCCGTGCACCACCATGTTGGACGGGTGCACCGGGAGTTAACTCCTCGCCTAGTTTGTCGTCAGGTGGCCATTTTGCATATTCCTGAAATACCATTCTCAAAAATTGTCCATTCGGGTCAATGAGTGAAGCTGCTTGAAATTGTCCCCAAACAAACAGCACGGAGTTGTTTAACTTGTTACACATGCTGTCACTTTTAGTTTTCTTTCAATGTGGAAAACTGCAGAAGAAACATTCTCATGCCAGAAAATGGCAAGCCAACATTAAAAGTGACGTTCATTTGACTTGTGAGCTGTTACGTATAGCGCATTTTGTTTCCTTGGTTGAAATTGCCAAACCTGGATACCTTGGGCCGCCTTTCTTGTCCGCGAGTCTTTTTGTCACAGATATTTTATTTCCACACACAATGGATGAGAAAGAAGTGCAGAAGTGTGTGTGTCACTGTGCGTGGTGTCAAGAGAGCAAGTTTTATGCTGGAATTTGATTAGATGCTTATTATTGTGACCTTGGATCACGTTAGAAAGCTTAAGGTGGATGAGTTTTTGTTTTGCTGTGTATGAATTATCAATAAAACATTCCTTTAAATGAATACATGCTTTGTCTAATTCAAATCTACTCAACAAAAAAGAAGGCTTTATGAATTCATTATTTTGCAGTGGGGCAGCACAGCGAACAATGTTCAGGGTTCGTGTCTGTGCTCCAGCCTTCCTGTGTGGAGTTTACCTGTTCTTGCCGTGCCTGTGCAGGTTTTCTCCCACATTCCAAAAACATGCATGGTGGATTCATTGAACACTTTAAATTGTCCTTCGGTGTGAATGGTTGTTCATCTATGGGTGGATGGCAACTGCTTTAGGGTGTACCGCTAGCTAGGATAGGCTTCAGCATGCCCACCACCCTCTTGAGGCTTAGCGACTTGGATGGATGGATGGATGCGCTGCAGTCTGTTTTCCAAAATTACACTCCTTAGCTTTTTTAAGGCGTATGTTTAATAAATATGGTCAGTACTCATTTTATGTTTTAATTTGATTTCCTGATACATGTAAATGCTTAGAACATCGATTGGCAACCTGTTCCCCCACACAGGCCGCCTACACATTGAGTGGCCCTCGATTCAGTTTGGAAAATGTTGACTGCTGCTGAGCCATTCAAAAATGTAATAGCATTTTTCACCACACGGTGGCAGACGTCGCTCACCAGCGCCTTCAAGGTGGTCCTGTGCATGAATCACCTCTTTCAACACTGATCTCAAAAGTACACGAACAGCAACAATTATATTTTTTCACGGCGTTAACTGGTAGGTTGAAGTAGTGTGCTTCAAAAAGGAGCATTGATGTATTCAACGCTTAATCGTATGACAAACACGAATGGTGGCAAAAGTGGACAACCGGCTGTTGTGACGTCCTCGCATGACAGATATCGACGATGCAAATGCCTTTTTGCTGTGCTCTGCTTATTTCTCTCTCTCTCTCGAGTGTAGGGCAATAACTTGTGCACTATTTGTTCATTCTTGACTACTGTGCTCGTTTTTACTGCATAATTCTATCATCCATCCATCCATTTTCCGATCTGCTTCATCCTCACAAGGGTCGCAAGGGTTGCTGGAGCCTATCCCAGCTCTCTTTCGGCAGTCGGCGGGGGACACCCTGAACCGGTGGCCTGCCAATCGCAGGGCACACAGAGACGAACAACCATCCGCACTCACACCGAGGGACAATTTAGAGTGTTCAATCAGCCTGCCATGCATGTTTTTGGAATGTGGGAGGAAACAGGAGTACCCAGAGAAAACCCACGCAGGCCCAGGGAGAACATGCAAACTCCACACAGGGAGGCCGGAGCCGGGATCGAACCCACGACCTCTGCACTGTGAGGTCGACGCGCAAATCACTGGACCATCGGGCCACTAATTCTCTAATTTAACTTGAAATAATGAAAAATGCCTCTTGCCAGATCATCGTAAAAGAGAAATGGTTCGACCAAGTTAAATAAATAGTGTAATAATTAATTAAATTAATCAGTTTTCATTTCATGTTGTTACTTTCTGTTCTTCGCTAGCTTTCCGATGATACAAACCTTTCGAAAATGGGATCAAGATGAAAGTTTTGGGGCCATTTTCTCCTCAAATGTTTTTATTTAACAGTCTGTCAAAGATTAGGATTATTGTAGCACACGGTCAACAAGATACATCAATCACAAATAAAATACATAAAAAACAAACTAAAGACTAAATCACCAAAAGATAAATAACATGGCAAGAGTGACATATAAAAATTTAATAAAAACAAATATTGAAGGTATTCAAAAGGGGGCAGAATTTCGAAGTTATGAGAGATTTCATGTTTCTAGCAGCAGCTATTGAAAGCAAATACAGACCCATTTTTTCCAGACAGACACAGTTTTATCTATGTCAATTTTCCTTGCGACAGCCGTATAAGAGTATCACAAGAACTCCCAGAGAGATCCCCGGACCCATCTCTCCAGCAGGGTGGACTGATCTCTCACAACTGCCTTGTATGGTCTTTGTCGAAAATATTCTATCTGACATTAATCACTTACAATTGAAAAACAAAGCATAAATTTACATGCAAAAAAAAAGTAGATATTAAAAATAGCTGTGTACATTCATGTCAAATTTATTTATTTGCTCCTCGACCGTGAAGTAGTCGGCAGATTTGTAATGATATAATGACATGAAAAATTGTAAAAGATATAACTAGAAAAAATGTGGCTGACATTTTTTTTCTCCCAAAACATGGCATGAGCCCTTCAAAGACCTTGAAAAATCCTCCACAATTAAATTACCAATCGAATACAAAGGTACGACTGCTTACGAATAATGTTTCATTTGCACTTTTTTTTCAGGTTTTTTGTTTGTTTGTTTTTTTTAAGGGCAAATGACACTGATATATCACGGTAACATCACGGATAGCCTTCTTACTAATACTGTACTGTACAAGAAAAAGCAAAATTTGATTTATTTCCTTAGTTTTTAAACTTTATACAAACCCACTGATGATGCAGGAAGAGAAGTGAATGAAGGTGGCAATTTTTTTGGTTATTTTCCTGAGTTTAGCATTTCCATCTTTGCAGACTCATATCATAGAAAAATGCGAGGGGGGGGGGGTAACAAATTAGCTGTTTTTCTTGCAAGTATGCATGACTATATTTGCCTGCCAAAGAATTGAAAAAAAAACAGCACAAAAAATCCTCCTGACCTTCTACCAGGCATTCATAGAGTCCGTCCTCTCGTTCTCTATGGCTTGCTGGTTCCACTCCCAAAGTCTGCAGGAGAAGAACCGCCTGGACAGCATCAGCAGAGTGTGCTCCAAGATCATCGGACTTCCCACTCACCCTCTGATTGCAGTGTGCGAGCAGCAGATCCTTGGTCTAGCTGCTCAGATCATGAAAGATCCCTCACATGCTCTCTTCCCCGCGTTCGAATGGCTGCCCTCCGGCCGCAGGCTGCGGTTCCCAGCTTGCAGGACAGCGAGAAGGAGATCCACCTTCGTCCCCCAGGCTGTTCTCCTCTTAAACTCTTAAACTCTTATTCCAATATCCCTGACACTCCTCACCCACCATTCAAACTCGTATACCCCATTGTGCAATACGGGCTTACAGTGCAATACTTGACGTGCAATACTGTTTTCATGTGCAATACTGTCTTACTGTGTCCTCACTGTGCAATACTGCTCGATGTGCAATACTATTTCGATGCTGGAGCCACTACCTCAAGACCTCAAGTGCTAAGCTACTCTTATCCTATGTCTTTCCTTGCTCCTACTGTCTCTACAATAAGCCGCTCTCGCACAACTCTAATTGCCCCACGGGGATAAATAAAGTTTTCTGAATCTGAATCTGAAAAAATGAGGTTGCATTGATTCAGTTTTGCACTTGAATCAATGCAATAATTTTTCACCCCTGTGCCTGCCTGCAACATAATAGACTACAAAAAGTGAACAAATACAACATTTTCCAAAAAGTACATTCTTTGAATATCCAAGATCAACCCACAAATGTTTTGACACAGTTTGCGAGTGTTTGTAAATTTCCATCAGAGATGGACCAAGTGAACTATCAGTTTCGGAGTCACAAGTGTCACATCCATCCAGTTTTTGGACTGCTTCTCTTCCGCGGCTGGCACTGATCCCAGCTGCCTTTACGCAACAGGTCAAATCTAAATCATAATGAAATTGAACAACACACGACCTTACATCGATGAATGATTTTGAATGAAACTTCTTTTTTACCATAAAGAAATAAAAACAAAAAAAATGAAGAGTCCAAATTGGCAGCTCCAGTATGACATTACATGTGAAGTACACAACATCAATTTGGAAAACAGCACGGACCCTGTGATTTTTCAAATAACAAAATGGGTTGAAACACATTTTACCAATTCGTGACATCATGACAGGAGCACAGATCAAGGCAACGCAAGCCCTAAACAGCACGGCTGTTGATGAGTCACACGGATCAGATAGTGTTGAAGGAATTCCTGAGAAGTAACTCAAATTGAAACACATCTGCTCTTGAATAATTGTCCTGACCAAATGAAAATTAATAATAATAAGAAGAACAATAATCCAAATAGTATAGATTTGTGCATATAAAGTATGCCTCTGTCATTCTAAATGGAGTACTGTACTGGTGTGGTTTTAAAGTTGTGCTTGTACATCAGTGACCATGAAAGTAATGTCTGTTTAAGGAAGTTGATGGAGACTAGACAAACACAAAGTAATCAAAATTTTAAAGTTTCATTTTGTTCTATGCTTGGTCCACCTCGGGCGTGTGTGCTCTCGCAGCTTGTACACAATGGAGCACAGAGAATCAAGACCAAATTGAAGGCGTTTGTTCACTGGTAATACAGGATGTGCCCCCACTGTGATGAGAATGTCCTTGAGTAAAGTTACAGTTCTCTCAGTTCGTGGAGAAATAATAAAGTACCTATTGTTTGTACAGGCAGTTGTCTTGGTCTAAAAATGTTGACTGAGGGGCGTATTGGAGGGCCAGCCGAAAAGTGCGGCATGCAAAGGAGGGAGAATGTTTGTCTGATATGTGACTTGAAATGTGCATATGTTACCAATAAAAGTTCGGCATAGAGCACAGAAAGTTGAGTTTCAGTTGGAGAAGCGAACACTGAGTGGCTTCATCGATAACTGAGGTCCCTGCCGGCAGCAAAGACAATCTCTTCCTGAGTCTGTTTGTTCAACTTGTTCGAGGCATATCTCTGACGGAAGTACTGTAACTGAGTTCCGATCCGTTGTGTCAAGCAAGTCTGTGTCCTTGTCAATGTCCTTCAAACGTGGAGAACATCACTTTCTGTTTATTTTTCAACTGCAAGTCAAGCAATGGACTTGGCTTTTCGTAGAAAAAAAATTTGAGGCTCTGCTTTTGGTAGCATGTTCACAAAAATGCAAACAGCAAATGAGCATGCAAGGCCTCATACCTCAGTGGTGAGCGCACTGGTCTAGTAAACCAGGGGTTGTGAGTTCAGTTCTCACTGAGGCCTAATTCTTTGTCACAGAGTTGTTATCTGTTGTGTCAGCAAGTCCGTGTACTTGTCAGCATCGTTCGAATGTATAGAACATCACATTTTGTTTATTTTTCTCCTGCAAGGCAAACAATTGACTTGTCTTTTCCCGGAAAGATTTGCTGGGTACACCAATGAGGCACAACTTTTGGTAGCTCGTTATCAAAAATGCTAACGGCGGATGCGCATGCAAGGCCTCGTAACTCAGTGGTTCGAGCACTGGCCTTGTAAACCAGGGGTTGTGAGTTCAATTCTCACTGAGGCCTCATTGTATATAACTGAGTTCCGATCATGTGTGTCAAGCAAGTCTGTGTACTTGTCAGTGTCATTTGAATGTAAAGAACGCTTCTTTCTGTTTATTTTTCTTCTGCAAATCAACCAATGGACTTGGCTTTCTGCTGAGTACACCAGTATTTTGAGGCTGTGGTTATGGTAGCATGTTAACAAAAATGCAAACGGCCGACTCGCGCAAGGCCTCATAGCTCAGTGGTTGGAAAACTGGTCTTAGAAACCAGGAGTCGTGAGTTCAATTCTCACTGAGGCCTCATTGCATATAACTGAGTTTCGATCTTGTATGTCAAGCAAGTCTATGTCCTTGTCAATGTCCTTCAAATGTGGAGAACATCACTTTCTGTTTATTTTTCTACTGCAAGTCAAGCAATGGACTTGGCTTTTCCCGGAAAAATTTGCTGAGTTCACCAGTAATTTGAGGCTGTGCTTTTGGTAGGATGTTAACAAAAATGCGAATGGCAGATGAGCATGCAAGGCCTCATAGCTCAGTGCTTAGAGCACTGTTCTCGTCAGCCAGGAGTTGTGAGTTCAATGCTCACTGGGGCCTGATAGCATATACCAGTGGTCCTCAACTAGAAATGCTGTAGGTCCACTTTTTTTTTATTTTTTTTAAATAAGACCAAAGTCCGGTCCCATGCAGGCGGTCATGGGGAACAGGGCTATATGCCAGTACACAGCAAATAATGAGAGATATTGTGTTGAGGCACAGGAACTCTTTTATTTTGTTAAGTTGTGCCTGCTTAATAATAGAAATAGCCCTTTTAGGGAAATAAGACATTTTTACTTTAACTTTGTGAAACAGTAGTTGTCTTTTTTCCCCCTTATTTTAACAAAAACAAAACAAAATACTCATTTTACCAAAATAAATACTAAACATGAAAACAAGGAGCACAGGAATGTGCAGTGCTGTTCTTCCAGTAAAGGTGAATGCAATGTCTGAGGCATGCAAATATTATTTGAGGACGCCATTGTGATGTTCATTCACCATGTTGCGGTGTTCTGCTGTTAAACAGCTGCAAAGATCCCCGGGTAGACGGGAGCAAAACTGCACACAATCGAAACCTCCCGCGATTCGTCCTTATGTATGGGCACACCTTAAGTTCAAAGGAGCCAATCAGCGCATCGTTATCGCCGACATGCCCTGCTCAGCCTGGGTGTCCAGTTGGTCAAACATTATACAACACACAGTCGCGCTGCTGCGGTCCTCTGCATTACATCTGTTAGTGCACGCAAAGAATACAACAGATAATTATAACAAGCGATCGCGGTAATGCGCAGATTATAGTCCACAAATATAAAATGTATAACGTAAAAATCACGTTATAATTTATTATTTTATACAATTTGCCGAGGGTCCGAACAGAGGAGGTCAGGACAGAGGAGGTCGGCGGTCCGGTCGTGGATCGCGGTCCGCCAGTTGAGGAAGGCTGGCATATACTGTATAATGAGCAAACGGGGTATGAGAGAGAGAGAGATTAGAATACAGTATCGCATAAAATGCTGGAGGGGCTTAAGTGGGGCTACACAGGTTGCTAATGAGGCTATCGTTTACTGCCCAGATCAATAAACTCTGGCAGAGCCGCACCAAAATCACAACTGCCGTATGTCAAGTGTCTCATTAAAGCTCTGATGACTGATGTTAAAACTGCTAGAGTGGGACTGAGTAGTTCAGTGTTTTGTTCCTGATATTTAAAGCTTCAATGCCTGTTTCAAGGGGACTCAAACGACAACCTTTAATAGGCAAATAGGGGCGGGGTCAATGCATATTCATGCTCCGTAGGCACGAGCCGTTATTTAAATCAGGGGTAGGCAACTCCGTCCTAGTGAGCTGCAGTCCTGCTTGTTTTAGAAGTTCCCTCTTTCAACACACCTCATTCAAATGATCAGAATCGTTATCAGGTTTTTACAGAGCTTGCTGATGAGCTGATCGTTTGGATCAGGTGTGTTACTGCAGGGAGAGATGGAAAACATGCAGGACTATGGCTCTCAAGAACGGGGTTGCCTATCCCTCATTTAAATTAACCGTGTTTTATATACATAGCAGTACACCGCCCCACCATTCCCCACAAAAAAAATGTGTTTTAGGCCCAGTGTATCAATATGGTTGTTGCTTCTCAACTGCAAGTGATGCATCTCCCAATGACAATGAACAACGGCTGCGTCTCCTGCTGAAGCTACATGTAAATGAAGCAGCCCACGCAAGACCAAGCCTTCTGCAGGAGCACCAGGAAGGCCACCAGGTAGAAGAGCACGATGACAGCCTGCATTCGAGCATAGAGGAGGAAGAGGATGGCAAGGTGGTGGAAGGAAATGTGAGGGAAAGAGGCGAAGTGAAAAGGATGTTTTGGTCGGAAAAGGAGACAGAGAGGGAAAAAAAGGAGGATAATAATAAATTCAAATTCAGCTCAGCAACATTAATTTAGGAGCAGAGTATCTAAAAAACTTTAGTCTACAAAACAAAAATGAATAAAACAGTTTGTGCTGATTTTTTCTCTCTTTTTTTTTAATCTCTTGAGGGTTTGTTTACTGCACTTGATATCACCTGCTCGGTGCAAAATAAATAAATAAAATACAGCATAGAGGTAATACTCCCTGCGTACTCCCTGACAATGAGTACGCCACTGCCAACTGCTGTAGCGGATGTGCAATTACACTTTATTTTATTCTCTTCGGCAAGAAAGCATGTCCTCCAGAGTCACACGAGCAACCCCTGGCATCGCAAGCTTCTAGAGTGGGTGAGAAGCTTAGTCATCTGGGAGATTCTTGGATGAGAGCCACTGCTACTCTGCATTGAGAGCGGTCAGTTTAGGTGGTTCAGGCATGTTGTTAGGCGAGGTGTTCCGGACAAGTCCCACTATTCAGGACACGCTCTCTCCTGCTTTGCTTGAAAACGCCTTTTCATCCCCCCAGAAAAGCTGGTTGGAGTGGCTGGGGAAAGGGAAGTCTGGACTTGACTGCTTTGGTTGCTGTCCCCGCGACCCAACCCAGATAAGTTGTTCTGGAGATATCCAGAACCAAAACAGAAGCATACTAAGAGTGTGCATGTGTCATGATTCGGGTTTGGGACCAACAGGTGGCACTATAGGGCTCTCCCTGCAGCTGCACACCTGTTGGTCATTAGGTAATTAGTGGCATAAAAGGACTCCCGCCCGACCACTCATTGTCGGGTCATTCTTGCTGTGTGCTGCCGTCATGTTTGTTCTGGTCATGTTTCTGTTGTTGATAGTTTTTTGCTTCAGTCATGGTTTTGTTTGATACTTTGGATTCGTTTTGTTTCCAGGACTTTGTTTGTTTGGGATTTAGTTTTCTCTATGTTTTAATACAATCTGTCAAGTACACCCTGCTCCTCTCTCCTGCCTGCTTTTTGGGGTCCACCACCACCTCGCAACGTGACAGGATGTTTCAACTCAACTCAACTCAACTGTATTTATAGAGCACTTTCAAACAGCCATCGCTGCATACAAAGTGCTGTACATGGAGCAATTTAACATATGCAACAAACAGTAAAGCAAATCGGTAATAAAGATGGTAGAAAGCACCGAACAGCAAAACCAAGAACAAATCTAAGTCATGCTGAGTCAAATGCCAAAGAATACAAGTGAGTTTTGAGGTGGGTTTTGAAGGTGGGCAGTGAGGAGGCTTGCCGAATGTTCAGTGGGAGGTCATTCCAGAGAGAGGGACCAGCAACAGAAAAGGCTCGATCCCCTCTGAGCCTCAGTTTAGTTCGAGGTACTTCTAATAATGTCTGGTCCGCAGACCTGAGGCGCCGGGCAGGTGTGT